CTGTCTGTCTGCTTAATCCGGGAGACAGTTCTGGCTCTGTGACTTGACTTCTCAACAAGCCAGGGCGGACCCCTGTCAAGTGTCCATTTAAAGTGACCTCTGGGCCAGCTATCTCTAATCCATTCTTGCTCTTCTGGGGACCCACTTTCTAGAAAAGTCCATCCTTTACTTTTGCTACTGTTGTTCCCTGGACCCTCTCCTATTTCACTTTTATTATATCAGATCTTAAGTCTTTTTAATACAGTCACCCAGGACGTGGTCAATGTTCCCCAAAGCTGAGTTTTCACCTCTGTGTTTGTCTCATGGGGTCATGACCAGGCGGTTCGCCAAGAGCAGGTGCCAGGGTAGCCTCCCGCTGCACCCGTAGCTCTTCCCGTTCACAAGCTCACAGGCCAGCAATCAATTCTCACGGCTTCCCCACTGACATGGCAAAGGTGACAGGCACCTGCTCGTCCGCAGAGCTCTCAGGACGGAGCATCACTTTAGCTCTGCGTCCTCGAGTCCATCACCGCACCTCCTACCACCTTACCTGTTTCCGCTCCTCGGAATTTAGCAGGAGATAGCGCGGATCAAACACGATTTTATGTAATTCTTTCTCCCAGGTAGAAAACGCTGACACCTGAAGAAAGATAGTCAATAGAGCTGCTTTTAGCATCTCATGCTGAGCCTGGAATCACACTGAAACGATCAATGGTGAGACACAGCACTAAGGAACCAGGGGTTGAGGGATGTAGCATCGTTTAAAAGTGTTCAACTTGTCAAACTTTTAAGAAAATCAATATTTAGAGCATTTGAAAATCGAATTTCTAGACTCATGACACTATTTCCTCCCTGGATATCTTCCAGAGCCGTGCGTCCTGATCTAAAACCCCAGCTACGCCTGTGAAGCTGGGACATTCTGAAATGCCACATTGTGAAAGGACGTATTTGTAAAACTTTTCAGGACACCGCAGGTCGTAACGGAGGACAGTGTTTTAGAAATAATCAGAGTTTGGCACAATTTCAATTGATTTTTAATCAACATTTAAACCTTTCTTAGGTAGGTCACCTTTTTAGACAAACTACCCTACTTTCTAATAGTTTTAGATTATAGAAACTTTTCACAACTATTATGAAGCTACCGTCTACCCCACACCCAGCTTCCTATATTGCTGACATCTTAATGTTACTATGCTACATGTGTCCACGCTATTATTAACAGGAGTCCACACCTTACTCAGGTTTCTTTAGTTTTTGCCTAATTTTTTTTACTGTCCCAGGATTCCACGCAGGACACCACATCACTCATGTCTCCTCGGGCTCCTCTGGGCTGTACAGTTTCTCACTCTCCTTGGTTTCGATGACCTTGATAGTTCTGAGGAGTACTGGTCAGGTATTTTGTGACATGTATCTCTGCTGGGATTTGTCTCAGTTTTTCTCTTGGTTCGACCAGGACTGTGGGTTTGGGGAGGAAGACCCCAGAAAATGTGCCCTTCTTGTCACATCCTATCAAGGTCCATACTGTCAATGTAACTTATCAGAGCTGACGTTGACCTTGACTGACCAGCTGAGGTCTTTCCTCTATGAATTTATTCTTTTTCCCCTATCCCATGCTGTCCTCCTTGGAGGGAAGTCACAATGTATAGCCCACACTTAAGGGGTCCGGCTCCACCTCCTGAGGTGGGAGTATCTGTAGAAGTTCCTTGGCATTCTTCTGGATGGGATATTTGTCCATTCTCTCCCATTTAATTATTTGTTCAATCATTTGTTTATATCAATATGACTCATGGATATTTATTTCATACTTTGGGTTATAATCTAACATGATTATCGATCTGCTCCTGGTTTGGCTGTTGTGGTTGGCTCCTGTGTCCCTGGGACGTACCCCATCATTTTGTTTTCTGGGCCCTTCAAGATGCTCCAGGGTCATCTCATATCGCTCCTACCTTGGCCCTAGAATCAGCATTCTCCAAGAAGCCCTGGTCCCTCTTACTGGAGACCTGGGTGCCGGGTGAGCTCACTGCTGCTGGGATGTTGTTGATCCAGACTCTCTCAGCTGATGGAGCAGTGAAACATTTAAGTCATCCAAAAATAATTTATTCATTTAAAAGCATTGACCAAATATTGACTGTGCCTTAGGCCCCATGCTGGGTGCTGAGGGTTCAGAGAAAATAAATCAAGGCCACTGACATAAGGAGGCCCACGGTCCAGGGTGAGGCAGAAAAGCTATAACTCAGGATCTCCTGGGGGGCATTAGCGTCCTTGCAGAGACATGCCCAGGAGCCAAGGGGACACAGAGAAGGGCCTGGGGAGAAGTTGTCTTGAATAATGACTGTGCTGGAACTGGGCCCATGAAGGGTCTGGGAGGTGTTCAGGAGGAAGTGTCTGTGGAGCGAAGGCCAGGCTCCAGGAACTGTGGGGAATGTGGAGATTACAAGGGTGGAACATGGTTGGGATGAAGGAGGCTATGAGGGGCTGGGAAGAGGCAGGAGAGACGGGCAGAGCAGATGTGCAGGACACTCCCAGACCTACTTAGGAACTAGGGCCTTGTCTGGAGAGCAACGGGGGAAGAAGAGCCAGATGTGATGTGTATCTAGGAGCCGGTGCAGGGGAGGGACTCCCGGGATGTGGGGAGGTGAAGCCAATGGGCAGTTTACAAAACCAAGATCCCTTCACATTCTTACTTTGAGCAGGTTGGAATATTTCTGGTAGAGATGTTATTTCAATAGGAATTGTGCTTTGCTTTGTACATCATAACATAATGATTTTTCAAACTTGACAACTATCTTCAGTAATAAAAAGAAAAGCCCTTTTTAATACTCATGAGCTCTTCTATCAGGCAGGGTGACCCAAACTCCACCCAGGGACTTTTTTCAGTTGACTAAAAACATGGTGAAATTTTGACACGTTACAGGGATTGGGGGTAGGGGCTCTGGAAAAGCATCAGGGCAGAATGACTTCTCTGTTTTTCGAGAGCTGACACTTGACCACGTGAGCATTAGGGTGGATATGGAGAGAAGGAATGGCCAACTTCAATACAGCCCAATCAGATGGGCATCTATCCACCATGTAGAGACCTGTAAACCCCTCCAAGGTCCTAGTTTCGTAAGGAAGGCCAACGATGATTAAGAATTGGTGTCACGTAACAGATTCCACCAGTTTGTTGAGAAGTTTTGGAGTTCTAGATGTATAATAAACTATATTTAAAAAAAATAATATATTGTCCTTGCCTCCAGAGGAATTTACAATCTGTATACAAGGCAAGATGAGCCATCTCCCCAATGACTGTAATTTGTGATAAAACAGACGTCGTCACATAACCTGACAGCCACACTAACAGATGCTCTTGAAGTTCAGAGGAGGGTGGCAGTTCTGGACAGAGGGGCAGCCGGGCTTGGGACCTGCGACAGAGGCTGGAGCAGAAGGGAAGTCTGGACAGTTGAGCGTGAAATGGGGCCCATCACTGCCTGCGGGTGGACACAGCCTTGTCTGTGAGACAGACTCTTCCCAAAGAAGGACCCTGATGACTGTCATTCCCTCGACTGTGAGACTCACTCTTGATGGAAGCCCAGCCTCCCTGGACCTGTGTCCCCACGGTCACGTTGTCTGGTAGGTTCATTCCATGGGGCAGGGGCTGAGGCCTCCCCTTTCTTGCTGGAGGCCTGTGGGGAGCCATTCTCCACTCCCAGGGGTCCCCAAGTTCTCCACGGTGGGCCCTCCACAATAGGTTGTCTTCCTTAAAGCCAGTGGGAGAATCTCTATATATGAGACCCAATCTTACATAACATGGTGTCACACCGACATGAGGGTGGCCCCCCATCCTATTCAGAGTCCTGCCCACTCTCAAGAGAGGGGGTTATTCAAGATGTGTGCCCTGGGGTGGGAGTCTTGGGGCCACCCTAGAACTCTGCCCACACAACAGGTCCCCAAGACAAATGCATGTTCTTGCCTCTAACTTGGCCTTCGTTTCTCAACAGTGATCTCCATCCCTCATCTGCCCAACAGTCCTTTGCATCTTTGACATTTTACATGTGATTTGGTCCAGGATCGTGGAATTCTTCAGCCAATTTTAGACCCTTTCCTGCAGAAGTCCCGTCCTTCCCTGCAGCCTGACCGTGCTGTGTAGTGCTTCCGTCTCCCTTCCTGGGCCGTGTTCTGTGATGTATACATCATCTCCTGACACCTGGCAACCTATTCCATCTCAGGGTGCCGACACCAGGTGACTCTGTGCCATGGGCGAAGGCCAGCAGTAACTGTCTTGGTGAGAGTGTGTTTGGACACTGTCCTGGCCCATCCGCTGGCCTCTGGTTAACGCTCATGCACAGCTTTATTTAACTCCCCTCTGGAACATCACCCCCTATGGGCTGGGAATCGGGACACATGGGCAGCGGGTCCCTTGAGCTGTACTGGAGGCCAGCCTCCTGCAGTCTTGTGCTTCTCCCGCCGGCAGACTCCCCTCTGAGTCATCCTCGGTTGTCTGAATTGTGTTCCCTGCCATTTCTACAACAGAAGACACCAGAGCTGGTGGTCTGAAACACAGGCACAGAGAAGGAGACGCAGCGTGGACCGGCCAGGGCGCAGTTCCCAAACCTGGACAGATGCCGCCATACAGTGGAAACTGTCAGCAGGCGTCCACCCCCGGCATTGGTCCGAGGCTGCCGCTTGGCTGGCTGACACGTGGGCATCCCGTGTGGCACTGTCTGCACCTACAGGTGTCACTGCTGGAGGGATGACAGTTCCAGCGAGGCTGTAGATCAAAGGGGAGACACTGGTACCCTCTCTGCGGCCAAATACACCAGGTCCTTCCTGTCATAGCTGTTGTCAAGGTTCTCCCAGAAAAATAACCTTGTTTTAAAACCCCAAAGAATCGTGCCAGCACAAGTAGCAAAATGACAACGTCATCCTTGTCGCATTTGGGGGTGGTCATCTCCTGCCTGGACGACCACAGTGGCCTCCTGATGGCTCCCCGCCCCCCAGCATCATTTTCCCTTGACCCGCAGCCCCCATCTTTCCAAGAGCCCTCAGACCAACGGGTCGGCCACTCGGCCAGCACTGAGGCCTCTCGGGTCTGGCCCCAGCTGTCCACCCAGCGTCCTGTCCAGCTGAGCGGCCCTGAGCGACCCCCACCAGCGAGGGTCCCACGCCGGGTGGCTGACCCCTCCACCCACTCCACCTGCGGGGCACGGCAGGGTGACGCCCCCTCGGAAGCCACCATGAGATGACCCTTCCCCGGATGACACCGCCTCCAACCTCAGCCCCACCTTCACGGAAACCTCTCCGAAGGCCAAGGAGTGGGTCCTGCGTTGCTCCTGGGGAAAGGGGCTCCGTTAAGTAATGTGGTCTGAGAGCGTTGGGTTAAGGCTAAAAAGCGAGATGATAACGCCAAGTCCCGTGGGTGCCACAGGGCCATGGCCGTCCCCTCGGGGTCCTGCCCCCAGGCTGGGCACCCAAAGGAGGCAGGCATGCTTTGTCTCCGAAACCAAAGGCAGTTTTGAGTGCTTGTCAACCCTTGGGTCACAGAAAAGGCCAGGAGCCGAAGGAAGAGAGGAAGGCACCCGTCTGCCTGTCTGTCTGCCTGCACGTGCTGGTCGGACCCTCGGCTGGCATCCTCTCTCCCCTTCCTATCACCTCTGGTCTCTCCTGGTCTCAGGGAAACGGACCAAGGCCTCGGCCGGGAGGTATGAAGGCCTCTCTCACCTGGGAAGGGGAGAAGCAGGTGCGGGAGTTCTGAGGGGGCACGAGGCCACTGGGTGGGACCTGACATGCTGAGCCATGCAGGAGGCCCAGTGGCCCCTGAAGACGGTCCCTGAATCTCCCTCCAGCCTGAGCCCACTGCCCTCTGCTTCCAGGGGCCGGAGACCGTGGCCACAGCCCCTCCGTGCATTTGCCCAAGTTTGCCCTCCTGGCTTCTCTACCTCCAGCCCCCACCTGCGCCCCAACACCACCTCCCTCCGTCGGTGCTCACCCCACCCCTCCCGGGCCCAGACCCCCTCCCTGCCCACTAGCTCTCCCTGCGGGGCCACCCTCCTGAGCGCCCAGACCCCGCCGCCCTGACACTGCGGGTCACGTGTGAGGATGTGCGCAGCGTCCTCTGATCCTCTGCTCTGTCCTCCACGCCGCCTGTAGGCTCTGCTGATGACAGATGGCGTGTTGCTTGTAATTAGCACTCACGCCGTTACCCTCTTTATCCAATTTCCTGGAACGCACAGCTGTGTCTTCTATTTCTGGTTCTGGAGCTCCTGACAATTAAAGGTGGCCTGAGGTGGACACAGCACAGGGTGAAGTGAGCAGACTGTGCTCCTGGCTCATCCTGGACAGGAGGCGGTGTCATCTCCACAATCATCTAGAAGCAGCCGCAAGAAGGGAGCTTGGGTGACGGCGGCGCATTGGGGAGGTGATGCCAGGCGTGCAGGACACTGACACGTGGAGGGAGAAGAACCCAGGATGGTGCATAAATGGGCAGGTGGCCCTGGGGGGCCGCAGGGCGCCGTGTCCCCGGGGAACCATGGAGACTCATGTAGAACACGCTGGAATCTGCCTGCAATTCATCCCACCGAAGGCGGGGACGTGGGGGTTTACCTCCCGCTCCCACCCTCCCTGGTGGAGCGCTGCCCCTGGAGATGCTCAATCCCTAAATTTAGAGGGGAGAGTGGTCGGCATGTGGAAGGTTCCCCTGAGCCCAGGTGAGCCAGGTGACCCACAGGTGATCCAGAAGTGAGAAAGGGGCTGCGTACTTCCCCCAAACTCTGGGATATGTCGATTCCCACCCTCAACTCCCAGTACTCATGGTATTTTGCCAAGTTTGGCGCTTTTTTTGGTATTTTGATTTGATAAATAAAATTTTGTACTGTTATTCCACCGTATCTCAGCTAATTTTACTTACTTTTCTTTCACGTTAGGGACAGTTATAACCCCTTTCCAGGCATTAGAGTGGGTGGTCCACAACTCCCCCAAGGTCATCTTCATGATTAGACTGCCATCTAGTCACTAATAGACAGGTGACCACAGTAATATCTGCAGAGCTGAATCGCCAAAGGCCGTAAGAGTTAATTCAGGAAAGAAAAACCACAGCATAGAAACCAAGAGAAAACCCAAATCAAAGGTAAAGAAGAATGAGATTCAAAAAATAACAAACAGTAAATATTTATACTTCTTACTATTCAGTGCTGGTGGAGCACGCTGGTCAAACACCGCTGGGAGAATACGTTGTAAGAAAACGACTTTTTCCAAAACAATTTGGTAATATAGGTCAAATGTTGACAGTGTGTAGGAAACAATCCTACACACAAAAAAACCAACATTAAGGCATCGATATGGTCACCAGAATATTATTTAAACTAGCAAAACTGGGCAATAAACTAAATACATGAAAAAAGGGATTTTTGGACTGACAATGAATTGACTACTATACCCTCATCAAAAATGTTTCCAAAGGTTTATAGTAATATTTTAAAAATGGGTAAAAGGAGAAAACAGTGTACAAATGTATAAGTTAGGTTGAACCTTATGAAATTGACTATATTAAAAAACTTTGGTTCAGCCATGTTCAACTACAGTTCAATCTTGATTATACTGTATAATACAAATGTTTATTCTTGCTATTCCTTTAACATCTGTTTTTAGAAAGAAAGACTGGAAGGAATGTACCCATTGATGATAATAACTGGGGTGGGGCTTCAGGTGATGTTTTTCTTATTTCTATTCTTTGTGTTTTGCCATTTTCCTACGATGAGCATGTGTTCTTTTGAGAGCACAATTCTGTTTTATTAGTTGTATGTGCCTGGTGAGGCTTTGAAGAGCTGCCATCGGAACACGAAGCGCATAAGCTTCCCAAGGAGCAAAGATTCACCTCGTGGAAGAGACCCTGCGGGTGTCCACAACTCAAGTGCTACAGCTCAGGCACCTCACCTCCAGAGCCGTCTCACCTGTGATGTGTACCTGCACCTGCGGGTGACCGAAACCCTCCCTCATATGTCTCAGCCCAAGTGCCGCTACAGCTCCAGGCAACACCACTTATGCATCTGAGTGAAGGAGCGCCGGCCATCCCCCACCAGGGAGGGGGTCTTCCTGCCACATGGGAGAAGATGCAGCTTCCCTGATGGTGGGAGGACACCTGGTAAAGAACCTCTCCTTCATTTGGACCAACTTTGCACCAGAAACCTCATGGTGGATGCCTGTCTTAGTGCAGAGAGAGACCACCGTGGCTGGGCTGGTGAGGGCCCGCGGCCTGTGGGTTCCATATATCAACACAGACTTGGACCCAAGTCGAGGGGTCTCAGCTGCAGAGCTGGCCTCTGTGCCAGTCAGTCTCCCCAAGGCTGCCCGCTGCTGGGCGTCACCCGCAGAGGGACCCTGGAGTGCCTGAATCAAGGTCCAGGGTTATGGAATAGTCTTTCTTTCTTGGTGCCTGGGAAAGCCACTTCCAAGGGATACTTTGCAGAAGGAAGACACCTTCAATAAGATGTCTCTAATGCATTTATCTAAATAGACAGGGTTAAATCAATCCTCTGCTACTCAGTGAATCCTGCCTCTCTACAGACCAAAGTTTGAAGAAAGCCCTACCGTGGTTTATACAGCGAAACAACATAAAGACAAAACCTTCCACTTACACATTTCAAAACCACAAAACCGAAGGCCCCTTCCCCAAGCCATAATCCCCATGGAATGCCCCAAACCATGCCCTTTTTAAACTACTAGAAATCCACACACCTAGTGTCATCGTTCTATAAGCACATGAGTTTCTGAGCTGAAGCCCTGAACAAATGCAATGAAAAAAATCTTTTTATCACCCAACCTATGAAAACAGTGACCTTTCTCGGCCTCATTTTTAAGCAACTGGAAATCTGATGGGCTTAGCTATCAAGTCCTCTTGAGCATGAGTAACTCATGAAATCTGTTGGCACACTTTATAAAGTCCAGAAGTCATAAATGGGGCTTCCCTGGTGGCGCAGTGGTTGACAGTCCGCCTGCCGATGCAGGGGACACGGGTTCGTGCCCCGGTCCGGGAAGATCCCACATGCCGCGGAGCGGCTGGGCCCGTGAGCCATGGCCGCTGAGCCTGCGCGTCCGGAGCCTGTTGCTCCGGAACGGGAGAGGCCACAACAGTGAGAGCCCGCGTACCGCAAAAAAACAAACAAAAACAGAAACAACAAAAGTCATAAATGCTGGCTTTGCTTTACGACATCAGTGTGCATTCAGGTTGGCCTTTTCTCTTCGTGAACAGCATACGGGCTTCTTCTGAAACCCTTGTGATATAGGGGTCTAGGCTCACCCCAGTCTCTCTGCAGAGAAAACCCAGAACACTGCAGCTGGTGCCTCCCATTCCCAGGGTGTTTTTGCTGAGGATCACGCATGAGTACCTATGGAATGGGTGGGCGAATGGAATCAGCCACCTCAACGAGACAAGAACACACTGACAATCGCCTTAGTAAAACTGCTCAGCTGAGGCCACTGGGATACAGTCAGAGACTCACATCCTTGGGAAGGAGAGGGAGGCGTCTCCGGCGGCCCTAATCTCCCACGTGGCTTAGTCTGATGTTGTGCCGGTAACATGGGCCTGGTTGGTTCCAAAACAAAGAGGTGGAAAACTTAGACATTGATGAGAGGGATGCTGCATGTATTTCTCAAATGCTCACAAGGCCATCACGTCTCACGGAGGACGGGCCATGCCTCCCAGTTAATTCCACTGGGACAAACTGGCTGGGTCCATTCAGATACTCGGAATTATGAATATTTCTGCACTGTCCTTGCAATCAGAAGAGGTGTGGCAGCAAAACTCGGGAGTGTCCCTCCCAAGGGGTTTGCAGAAGAGCATCGTATTCTCAGTGGCTCTGCGGGCAGAGGAATCTGCTTCCTCACTTCCACACGAGTGATGCCACGAGCCCTGTCATGCAGATGCTCTGGGGGCCACACGAGTGCGGGAGAAGGAAACAGAAACGGCAGCTGCTCCAGGAGATAAACCCCCTTCTCCAGGCTCAGGGGCCCACTCCGGGATCAGTGCTGGGCTGGCCCGGGGCACGTGCAGCAAGACCAGAGCTCGGACACGAAGGGAGTCCTGGGAAATCATTGAGGGCCTCCTGGGAGCCAGGCCCTGGGAACCCAACGGCGCATTGGAGAGTCCCGCGTCTCTAGGAGCTGCGAGCCAGCATGGCGACCTGGCGACGTGGAAGGGACACAGAGCAGCCGTGTGGCATCATGTGTCAGCTGGGCAGCCAGGGGTCGAGGGAGGGAGGGCCTCCCAGGGAAGGGACCCCGTGCCAAGAGTGGAAGGTGGGTGAGGCGGGCTGTGAGACAGCTGAGGGCGGCCACCAGGGATGGTGACCGGTGGTGACACTGGGTACAAGCCTCCAGGACCAGGAGGACACTGACAGCCACGGAATAAGCAACCCCGTCGAGTGGCAGTGATGACATCTAAATGGAGTCAATGCCCTGTTGGCAGAATCCTCCCAGGGTGGCTGGAGAAGGGAACGCGGGCACTGGACCCATTTCTCCACTGTAGGAACAGAGGGGCTGGATGGCCAGAGCTCGGAGCCCCGGCCTGTGTTCCTGGCCTCCTCTCCTTAGCCAGGTAGTGACACTGGCTTTGCCTGCATGTCTCTGCTGTTGAAGTGGGAAGGCTGAGAAGGGGGCGAGGGCCGAGCAATGGGCGAAGGGAGAGGTCGGCCGGAGCCCTTTCCCAACTGCCATGCGGAGTCTTCGGTGCGTCGGGCAGGGAGCCCACACCACACACACAAACACAAGCATGTACACTCACAGGCACACACACACACATACAGAGACACACCTCTCACAAGAGAGTCAGTTGTTTCAAGGCTATTTCATCCTGCAGGATTTGTTTAATCAAATCATCTCTATGTCTTGGTAAAAAAAAAAGGAAAGTTGCATGGGGAGGGAGTCTTTTTTTAAAAAATAAAATTTTAGCCAAGTAAATATAGTTTTTAAAATTATGTCTTTTTACAAAAACACGTCCTCCATCTACACCAGGGACCACTCCAGTGTGCGTGTGTGTTCGCGACCTTCCCATTTTGCACTTCTGGGTTACTCGGCATATATGTGAGTATAGGCTTAATCCATTGCATTGCAGTTTTAAGCTCACAAGCCTACTTTTCCTTCCAGGTCCTTGTGCCAAGGGCTGTATTTTATTCTTGAGTGAGTCTCTAGACAGATAGAGCAATGCATGCATTAAAATTCATGGTGCAGAGGAAAAGAGGTTCCACGGAAGGTGCCTGAGATAATCTCCTTCTTACTCCTAATTCTTAAGCGCTGGCACTGTTTAGTTTCCCTGTAGCCCCAGGGCCTCACCCTGCCCAGGTGCCAGCACTGCTCAGACCCGCTGCTCTCGGGGAGAGGAGGTCTCTCCAGACCGCCCCCCCACTCAGTTCCCAGCTGCACCTGCTCTGGGAGAGGCCGCGCAGGAAGCAGCCTTGGGTGGGTGCTGACTGAAGAGGGATTGTGCTTTTGAATTCCCAAGGCCATTTACAGTGTTCATTATAATTATCATTACACACCGGTTCCTATTACTGCCTTCTGCGTTCGGTCTCATTTTATGAAGAAATCCAACTGGGCTAAACTATTGTATCGGGCTCATTTTATACCCAAAAGCCAAAACAGGAACTACAAGTCATTGGAAGGAGATTCAATTGTAAACTGTTTTTTCCTCCTCAATTCAAAATGAGATTCAGAAGTCAACTACAATTAAGACATCCCAGGTGTACGAAAACCGTTGGGTTGATCCAGAGGCGTATGAGTCCCTCCCCTAGTGAACTGGAGGGCTCTTCCCTCTGGGGGTGCGGAACCCGGAAGCCAGCAGGGCTCCAGCAGGAAGGCCATCAACACAGACCAATCATTTCTCCACATGGTCCCGGGGACCGTCCCTTCCAGGTGACCCACGCCTGTTCACCTCTCAGCCACTTCCTTGGACAGGTGGCGACAGCTACCCCGCGATGCATCACACCCTTCAAAGCCTCCTTTCCCTTTTAGGACAAGAGGCAGGATCCATTTTCCTTTGCTTTGGCCTCACATCACGTGGCCCCTGAATGTCAGGCAGCGTGACTGCGGGCTCGGTGAGGAAGGGGAGGGGTCTTGGGCTGGGGGACAGTAGCTCAGCCACTCCCACTGAGGGCTGCTATCATGTAACATCCTTACCCCTCTCTCCAGGAGCATGTCTCGGAAGTGGGTCACCCGCTCCTCCAGGGGCAGAAGGATCTGGGGCGGTGGCGTCTTGGCACCCGTGTCCTTTCTCTCCACCTCCTCGGGCCCGGGACTCACGTGGCCTTCCGTCCTTCAGGGCACAAGACACAGAGAGTCAAGCGTGACCTTGGAGACCCAACTGCTTCTCACTGCAAGCTTTCAAAACCCTCTGGTAACCCTGTAAGGGGCAAAGATTCTTTGGACACATTGCAAAGCCTGGAACAGTCAGCCCAAAAGAGCAGAGATTTTGCTCTTGGGATGCAAACAGCTCTGCTGCCTTTGGGGCGGAAAGTTGAGACTGAAGCCCTAACAGGATGGACGCTCTCAGGAGGGAAGGCAGCGCTGGGAGCCTGAGGGCCGAGGGCACCCCGCTGGGCCACCAGGAAGGAGGCTGTGAGTCCCTCACCGTTTCACCGCCAGAGACCAGTCATCACCCGAGGGAACGGAGTGAGCCTGTCACTTGAACCAAGCGGTGGAGCTTCTACCTGGTTCCGCTTTGGTTTTTAGATACTGTTTCGTTTCGGATAAATGCATGGAAGACATTTATGAGGAGACTATTCTATCCACACTCAGGGGACAGAAAACATTGTCCCGACGTCTAACCTGCGAGGGAGATTTCAGTGACAGTGGGGAGACGGGATGCTACCTGGGCGATCGGTACAGGGATGGGGACAGCTGGGCAACGTGAGCCCAGAGCCGGTCCGTCCCCCTCCACAGGGGTGGCCGCAGCCATGGCCCGGACACAAGGGGCAGGGAGGAGGGGGGCCCGGCGCGGGCCCAGGGCAGGGGCCAGGCAGGGCGGCGGGGAGGAAGGAGAGAGGCTGCTTTGACGAAGCACTGGCTTGGCAACTTGCATCTTTTATTTAACTGGCCATTTGATAGATCTCTTTATGGTTCTACACCTTCTTCTGAAAGCATGTGGAAACCTCCTTCTAAAGCACCTTGACGTTTGCTGCTGGAAGAAGTCATCTGGCCAAATGCAGACGTGTTACCCCCACTCCTGTCCGTCTCGCCCCCCAACCTGGGAGCAGGGTCTGCCCAGCCCCACCCCCGGTCTCCTCCCAGGCAGCCTGTTCTCAGCCAGGATACACAGACTGGACCTCCACCGCCCAGAGAGCAGCCCTGCTTAGACATCCAGACCCCTCTGTGGGGCCTCCTCCTGGCCTAGCCCTGCCCCCCCCACCCCCCCAGGACCTGGGCCCTCGGGCAGAGACTTCAACAGGCTGGTGCAAACCTGATCCTGAGGCCACCTTTCTGATATGCGCTCAGGTCAAGCGAGGCTGTCAAACCTGAAGAGCAGCCCGCTGGGAAGCACCAGGACCTCGTGTCTCCTGCATCCGCGACAGCGTCCTAAGTGCTTGGAGGTCCCGAACAGCAGGGCACACACACATCAAAAGCCTGGCGCTTCCCCCCCTCTTTGCAAAACCAGCCTCAACCCGGGAATTGCAGGGTTGAAGGTGCTCACGCCACGCACATCCAGGTTTTCTGATGTAGGTCAAGATCAGGGCTCAGGCCTGGGTGCTTTGTTCCTGGGGGACTTTGGCAGAGTGTCTGGAGACATCTGTGGTTGTCAACACTGGGAAGATGCTCCGGCACATAGGGACAGAGGCCAGTGATACACAGGATCTGGGCACATCTGCACTCCCGCATTTCAGGAGAAGGAGACGGCCCGTTCAGCTCATACAGTCACTTAACGACTCAACCAGGGCAGCCCCATCTCCTGACGCCCACCAAATCTGCAGCTTTTCCACCTCTGTCCAGGGTGCTGTGAAAATATGCAGGTTACCAATTTGGGGACGTGATGAGAACGTGGTATCCCATGTGCTACGTCTAACAAGGGTTTTCACGCATCAGGGTTATAACGTGGGTTAATCAAACCTCATACAAAATGTGCAAAGAAAAAAACCTGCTTGCTCAGCCCATTAGGGAATCTTATTTATAGACCAACTATTGCAGGAGAACTTACATTCTTAGCTTCTTATGCAATTATGCAGAATTTTGAAAAAAGAAAATTACCAGTGGATTTGCCATTGAATTACACTCCAAAGGGTATAATTAGGATTTCTTTGTAATAAATTTTCATTAGTTAAAAATAGAAGTGTGGAAACAAGCCTCGCATTGTTGTAACTTGAAATAAGATTAATAGGAACGTTGTGAGTGTGGCAATGATCACGGATTACAGCTTATTCCACAAAATATTGTGTTCGGAACCACTGGCCACCTTCCAGACTGCAAAGCTATCAGTTCAATTAGAATTAATCAAAAGCAAATGAAAACTTGCTAAATATATTTTCAATATTCTTATGGCTGAAATATTTTGGTACAAAAAGTAAATTCTGGAAGGAGCTTCAAGATGACGGAAGAGTAAGACGCGGAGATCAGCTGCCTCCCCACAGATACACCAGAAATACATCTACACGTGGAACAACTCCTACAGAACACCTACTGAACGCTGGCAGAAGACCTCAGACCTCCCAAAAGGCAAGAAACTCCCCACGTACCTGGGTAGGGCAAAAGAAAAAAGAATAACCAGAGACAAAAGAATAAGGACGGGACCTGCACCAGTGGGAGGGAGCTGCGAAAGAGGAAAGGTTTCTACACACTAGAAGCCCCTTCGCGGGCGGAGACTGCGGAAGGCAGAGGGGCGGAGCTTCGGAGCCACGGAGGAGAGCACAGCAACAGGGGTGCGGAGGGCAAAGCGGGGAGATTCCCGCACAGAGGATCAGGGCCGACCGGCACTCACCAGCCCGAGAGGCTTCTCTGCTCCCCCGCCGGGGCGGGCGGGGGCTGGGAGCTGAGGCTCGGGCTTCGGTCGGAGCGCAGGGAGAGGACTGGGGTTGGCGGCGTGAACACAACCTGCAGGGGTTAGTGTGCCACGGCTAGTCGGGAGGGAGTACGGGGAAAAGTTTTCTTCCCTCTTTGTTTCCTGGTGCGCGAGGAGACGGGATTAAGAGCGCCGCTTAAAGGAGCTCCAGAGACGGGCACAAGCTGCGGCTAACAGCACGGACCCCAGAGACGGGCATGAGACGCTAAGGCTGCTGCTGCTGCCGAGAAGCCTGTGTGCCAGCACAGGTCACTATCCACACCCCACTTCTGGGAGCCTGTGCAGCCCGCCACTGCCAGGGTCCCGGGATGCAGGGACAACTTCCCCGGGAGAACGCACGGCGCGCCTCAGGCTGGTGCAACGTCACGCCAGCCTCTGCCACTGCAGGCCCGCCCCGCACTCCGTGCCCCTCCCTCCCCCCGGCCTGAATGAGCCAGAGCCCCCGAATCAGCGGCTCCTTTAACCCCATCCTGTCTGAGCGAAGAACAGACGCCCTCCGTCGACCTACACGCAGAGGCGGGGCCAAATCCAAATCTGAGCCCCGGGAGCTGTGCGAACAAAGAAGAGAAAGGGAAATCTCTCCCAGCAGCCCCAGGAGCAGTGGATTAAAGCTCCACAATCAACTTGATGTACCTGCATCTGTGGAATACCTGAATAGACAACGAATCATCCCAAATTGAGGAGGTGGACTTTGGGAGCAACGATATATATATTTTTTCCCTTTTTCTCTTTTTCTGAGTGTGTATGTATATGCTTCTGTAGGTGATTTTGTCTGTATAGCTTTGCTTTTACCATTTGTCCTAGGGTTCTGTCTCCATTTTTTTTTTCTTTTTTTTAGTATAGTTTTTAGCGCTTGTTTACATTGGTGGATTTGTTTTTTGGTATAGTCGCTCTCTTCTTTCTTTCCTTTTGTATTACTTTTCAATTTTTTAAAATAATTACGTTTTATTTTTTAATAACTTTATTTTATTTTATCTTTTCCTTTCTTTCTCTTTTTCTCCCTTTTATTCTGAGCCATGTGGATGACAGGCTCTTGGTGCTCCAGCCAGACATCAGGGCTGTGCTTCTGAGGTGGGAGAGCCAGGTTCAGGACACTGGTCCACCAGAGACCTCCCAGCTCCATGTAATAACAAATGGCGAAAATCCCCCAGAGATCTCCATCTCAACACCAACACCCAGCTCCGCTCAACGACCAGCAAGCTACAGTGCTGGACACCCTATGCCAAACAACTAGCAAGACAGGAACACAACCCCACCCATTAGCAGAGAGGCTGCCTAAAATCATAATAAGTCCACAGACACCCCAAAACACACCACCAGACATGGACCTGCCCACCAGAAAGACAAGATCCAGCCTCATCCACCAGAACATAGGCATTAGTCCCCTTCACCAGGAAGCCTACACAACCCATGGAACCAACCTTAGCCACTGGGGGCAGACACCAAAGACAATGGGAACTACGAACATGCAGCCTGCAAAAAGGAGACCCCAAACACAATAAGTCAAGCAAAATGAGAAGACAGAGAAACACACAGCAGATGAAGGAGCAAGGTAAAACCCCACCAAACCTAACAAATGAAAAGGAAATAGGCAGTCTACCTGAAAAAGAATTCAGAATAATGATAGTAAAGATGATCCAAAATCTTGGAAATAGAATGGAGAAAATACAAGAAGTGTTTAACAAGGACCTAGAAGAACTAAAAAGCAAACAAACAACGATGAACAACACAATAAATGAAATTAAAAATTCTCTACAAGGGATCAATAGCAGAAAAACTGAGGCAGAAGAACGGATAAGTGACCTGGAAGATAAAATAGTGGAAATATAACTACTGCAGAGCAGAATAAAGAAAAAAGAATGAAAAGAATCGAGGACAGTCTCAAAGACCTCTGGGACAACATTAAATGTACCAACATTCAAATTATAGGGGTCCCAGAAGAAGAAGAGAAAAAGAAAGGGACTGAGAAAATATTTGAAGAGATTATAGTTGAAAACTTCCCTAATATGGGAAAGGAAATAGTTAATCAAGTCCAGGAAGCACAGAGAGTCCCATACAGGATAAATCCAAGGAGAAACATGCCAAGACACATATTAATCAAACTATCAAAAATTAAATACAAAGAAAAAATATTAAAAGCAGTAAGGGAAAAACAGCAAATAACATACAAGGGAATCCCCATAAGGTTAACAGCTTATCTTTCAGCAGAAACTCTGCAAGCCAGAAGGGAGTGGCAGGACATACTTAAAGTGATGAAAAGGAAAAAC